CACACACACACACGCAGCTGTGCGTGTGCATTACACCACACAGAGCATACACACACGCAGCTGTGCGTGTGCATGCTCCTTTTCTGAAGTTAAAAGTTTCAGTCCTTGTAATTGAAAAGTGTCCAGAAGAAATCATCCTATCTGCACACTTCCCACAGGGCAGAGAAGCTCGTTGGTGGCCCAGGCTGAGCGTTCCCTGTGCATAGACTGCCTGCAGCCTTGGTGCTCCCCCATAGTTGTGAAAGGAGAACCTCACAGGCCCCACGGGACAGACTTCAAAATTCTTGGTCCAGGTGGGGATTCCTGGGGCCACCCTGTAAAAGAAGGCCACAGGCAGCTCAGCACCTCCCCTAGCCACTCGAGCGGCACGCTCAGGCACAGGGCTGAGACCCACAGCAGCACACCTGTGTGTTCCCTCCGTTGTTCGTCCTTTCACTCATCCATCCATCCCTCCTCACCCATCAGTCACTCGGGAGCTGCTTAGTTAGCCCTGCTGTCTGCACGGGAGCCACGGAGCAGGCTCTGTGGGCCCTGTTAGTGCTGACTGTGAGTGGGGCCAGCAGGAGAGAGGGTGGCAAGGGAGCACTCGTTGCACAGTGGAGATGATGTCATATTCTGTCATGGCCACTGCAGGCAGCAGTATTTAGTATGATCTAGATCACTGAATGTCCATAGCAGATGCTCTCAAGTAAACTGTCCTCCTGGCTTTTCTATGCACATGTCAAGCCCTTGAACAGCCCTGCCCCAGCAGCCTTTCATCTACTCTGCACAGAGGGGATCTTGGCCTACTGTTCCTTGGCTGAGGAGATAACAGTGGGGCTATGATTATGTCTCATCAGAACCCAGTCCCAGGCAGGCCAGAGGAGCTAGAAGCTAGCTGACCCTTACCCGGGGGTCCAACTAGAAGTCTGCTCCCACCATGTATCTGCTCTTGTGCCTGCTTCAAAGAATCTGCTTCCCACAGGATTGTGAGCAGTCTGGGCCTTTCTATAAACTGGGCATACAGAAGAGCACCACTCTGTCTCTTCACAGCTCAGTCACCATCTTGTCACTTCCTGAGCCCCTTTCATCCTAACCTTCAGGCAGCCAATGCTCAGCCCCACTGGGTCCTCTGCATTCCTAGGTCTTTCCCATGTGTTCCTTCTCTTCATAGAGGAGTGGACTCTCGGTCTCCCCCTGACTGGTCCCAGAGGCCAGCAGCCAGAAGGAGCCTCCCTACCAGATCCTCACCGATACTGTAAAGTGTATTGCCTGCTAGAGCAAAAGCAGAGATGTGGGACGAGGGTGCAGGAGGGAGCTGGGCCCCTCAAAGGAATGAAGGTATGAAGAGGGGTGGGGGGCGTAGCTAGTGTGCGATGGAGTCCAGAAGCTATAGTCTTTAACTGGCTAGCCCCTGACCGATGCCCCCCCAGCCACACACACCCCCCAATCCCTGGTCGTGAGCTCTATCCAAGCCAGGGTGGAACAGAGCCAGAGTAGAACAGTAGAGTGAGAGTGTGCCCAGTCTTCTGTGGTTTTATCTGACAGCCCTGACCTGCAGGGGCAGAGGTAGAAGGAAAGCCTCACTGTACGGCACTTTCCTGAGGAGACAGCCCTGCCAGCTTATAGTATGTTGTGCTTTATGTATATATAGCAGAGCAGCGCTCAGTGGACTGGAGAGTAGGGTTGGAGGTGAGCACCAGGCTGGATTCTAGCCAGCCTCAGGCCCTAGAGACCAGGCAGCCTCAGGGCTTGGCCAACAGCCACTTTTATACTCAGTTTGAAAGGCAAATTTGGGCTCAAAGATGAAAAGAGAAACATTACCCTTAGGGCCAAAGTCTTTCAAAAAGATATTTTTAAAGGAGGAATGAAATGGGTTATGAGGTAAATAGAGACAGAAATATGGAAACACGCAGCGTCCTTGGCCTTGGTTATCTCTGCTTCACAGGATTGCCACCCTCATGTGACAGTGTGTCAGTCTGTCTTTTCTACTCAGAAAAGTAATCTGCTCTTGGCATTCCTAAAGATGTCATCAGAAATGATGACTGATTGTTTCTGAAGAAGTGACATAGCAAGTGTGTCAGAGTCCATCACAAATCCTCCCTAACCCTCTTCCCAGACAGACATTGTCAGGTGGGCAGAAGTGGGCAGTAGAGGTGGGCAGTGGTGAGCAGTAGCAGGCTAGGAAAGGAGGACCTTCCAGGGAATGAGCCCCTTTAGTGGAAGAGAGGAAGGGCCAGTACAGCTCTCTCTACAGTAGAGGGTTGTCTTCCCTCCCTACAAGGGCCGGGGTCACAGAGTTCATCACCCCACGCACAGTGGTTGTCCAGTGGAGTGACCTGCCTCAGCTGCAGGTTCAAGCAGCTTCTTGAGGAGTTGGTAGGTAACAGGCTTGAAGGAGTTTGCTGAGGAGAACCCTGGTGAGCCTTTGTGATGGTCCTGGGGCATGAGGGTACAAAGTGGGTTCTAGGTCATGACCTGCAGGGGGAAAGGTGGCCTGTGGATGCTCAGGGTTTCTGGGGGCCTTCTACAGGAGAGGGTTCTTCATAATAATGTCAGAGCCCTTGGTTTATCTGAGTCTAAGGTCCTTGGTTGTACAATAGAGATATGCATGGGCAATACTTAGCCTAAGTGTAAAGCTGCTGCAGGAGGAATTGGTGTAGACCCTTAGCAGTGTGCCGTAGTGGGTGCTTCTGCCTAACAAGAAAGCTGCCAGAGACAAGAGCCAGAGTGGGGAGCACACAGGCTATCATTCACAGACTCTGTATGGACTGGAGTGAAGGTGGTTTCCACCAACCACTGCTGGCTTCTATGGTAGCACTAGTCTGGGGAGGGTCCTTGGAAGGTGGTTGACGCAGTCTCTGCCCTGAGTGAGGTTTCCTGTTGGTCTTGGTGAGTGGAATCACCCACTATTCTTACAAGAGCAGCTGACAAAGGGAATCATGGTAGCAACAGAGTGCCAGGTCTGCCGCCCAGCATGGTTTCAGGCATGCATCCTTCTTTATGGTCAGAGGACTCCAGGATGTGTCAGGTCTCCTAAACCCCAAGTTTTGCAGTGTTTGGAGAGAATTAGGCCCAGTTCTGGAGCAGGTGGTTCCCTCTGTTGTAGCCCACCTGTGTGAGTGACAGAGCCCAGGATCTCAGCCCTCATTGGGGCTCCCTGGCTTCTGGAATCTGTGGGTTTGCTCATATGCATGGATTGAGTTTCCCTGCCCAGGCTTACAGGTTGGCAGCCCAGTTGGGCTAATTATGGTTCCCTGAAGATAGCATATCTTGCTTTACTTCCTTAGAGGTGAGTGAGGCTCCAGGCAGACTCCTCTGGAGAAGACTGGGCATAGGGGTCTGGGCCTGGAGCTTGACCTCAGCCATGGTAATCAAGGCTGGGTCCTGTCAGTCATCAGCTGCTTCATGGGGAGCCCATACCTTCTCATTCTGACTCCTTCAGAGCCTCTGTCTGGAAATGGATAGGCCATCCTGTCTGCCTGTCCTTCCTGCTGCATCTCTGGGGTGCTTGCTATCTGCGCTGTACCCCACATTTCTGAACCTCTCCAGAGGGTATTAGATGCCTCACAATGCCTAGGCATATGTGGTGCTTTTATCCAGCCACTGAGCCAGATTTCCAGCCTTGACTAAGTCCTGGTGGCCAGGAGAAAAATCTGGCTTTGACTTACCCTCGACCACTCAGGGAAACGTGCAGCATTTACCAGTATGGTTTCTAGGCACTATTTAGTGACTCTAGGACATTACCCACGTGCACAAGGAGAGTGAGGTCCTTCAGATAGGGCTCCTCAGGAGTCAGGCTGGCATTTCCTGCCCGTGAATGAGAGAGACTCACCTGTAAGTGACCCTGTGGGACTGGCAGCTTCTGTGGGGCCGCAAGGGAAATCAGCACGGTTAGTGCACAGAACCACCTGGGCCTTTCCACACGTCACTCCCAGTGTGCTTTTGGGAATTTGAGACAAGAGAGTGGTGTAGGAGGGTGACTTTTTGCTAGGACCAAGATTCCAAGGGTGTGGTTGTCATCTAAGACGTCTCCTGTTCCTCCACCCCCTATATGAGCAGCTGCCTTATGAATTTCAACTTTGAGACACCCACAACCTGGTGCAAACCTAGGAACCAATGCCTTGTTCAGCCCAGGTGCTCATGAGGCTGGTGGTACAGGCTGCTTCCACCCGGGCTTCCTCTTCCAGTGTTGTGGCCTTGGGCAAAGTGACTCCCCACCTGCAGGCCTCAGAGTTGTCTCCAAGGCAGGGCCAGGAGCAGTGCCTGCCTAGTAGTGCTCTTTGGTTGAGTGAGGCAGTGAGTACTGCTGAGCGCACTGCCTGCCCATCTCCTCCTCATTCTCACCGTCCTCCCCACCTCCTCTCCAGCCCAGCAGCAGCCGTCATCTCATCAATGACCATCGTCATCATTGTCATTGTCATTGTCTTATGAACCCTGTGGGATAAGCTGTTCTGTTTGGTTGCCTGCCTAAATCTTCCCTAGAGCAAACGTTCCATGACCCTCTGGTCTGGTCTACCCAAATCCATCCTGAAGTAGAGGGAGTCTGAGAATGTGTGTTCAGCTACATGTTCTCAGAATGACCCTAGGAAAGATTCCTATGGCTCTGGAGTTGGGGCACAATGAGAGAGCCCATGATTATGGGCCGTACTAAATACTGTTGCCCATTTGTTCTGCATTTGTGGTATTTTAGTACATCGAGGACAGGACAGGCTGTCTGGTTCCTGGGGCAGAAAATCCTGGCTGCTCCAAGTTGGCCACCAGCATGCTGCCCTTTCACACCTGGGATTGCCACATGGTTCCAAGAGCAGGCTGTGGTGTCCACTCTCCCTGCGGGACAGTGAGGCCCTTCATCCCATGTTGGAAGCAGGCCTTACCTGTGATTGCTTGCATCTCCATCTCAACAGCGGGTCAGCATCCCTTCTGGCCTCAGTGTCTTCATCTTAAGTAGACATGAGAGCAGCACCCCTTCTGTGGGGTGGACTGGGTGTGTTCTCGAAAGCATGTGGATGGCACATTGTAGGGATCTGACAAGACAGCAACGCTGCAGTGCTGGGCAGCCCCATGCAGAGCACAGACCTGAAAAGTGCCCCACTAGATCTGAGAAGACCCTCAGACCTAAGAATTTCCTGGCTGTTTAGCCTTGTGGACATGGACACAGACCTGTGGGAGCTGTGACAGCACAGCTAGTGCTCCTAGTGGCAGCACGTGGAGAGTGGAATGCTGGCAAGGCCCAACACAGAGTTAAGGTGGACCCAGTGCCCAGAGTAGGCCCTGTGTCTCAGCCCCTGCCTCTCAGCTGTGAAAGGTCATATCTCCTGGCATAATGAGGGTTTGGGCTGTAGTCAGGCAGACCTTTATTCAAATCTTTGTTTATGAGGCTTACACCTTGGACAAGTAGATCCTCATTGCTTGCTGAGCCTCAGTTTCTCCCTTTGGGAAGGATAATATAGTGGTGCTTGGACCAGCACAGGAAGGATAACATAACGCTGTTTGGACTAGCACAGTGAGAGTGAACACAGAGGCCTGCTGTACATGAGCACACCACTGCTTTAGCCTCTGGTCTGTAGTGAGTGAGGCATCTCTGTGTCTCTGTTCATGTGGAGTCCCTCACACTGGACTCCCCTGGAAAGGGCCTGCCTACCAGCCTAGACTGCTTGGAAGAAGTGGATTTCAGGCTGCTCTCTGACAGATGTCCATTCTAACAACATCTGTCAAGGATGCAGACCCAGGTCTGTCTCACAGAACAGGCAGTGCCTCCCGCTCACCACCTTGGCAACTTCAAACAGTCTTAGCTTCCTAAACCACCTTAGAGTAATAGAGAGAAGCCCTTCAAGAGGATGGTAGAGAGGAAGCTATGGCTCCAAGTGTGAGTGCTGAGGAGCGGAGGAAGGAGTAGCGATCTTAAGCACAGAGAGACAGCACTTCAGAAAGCTCTGTTGTCAGAGCTGGCTCTAACATTCCTGCCAATGGCTGGGGAGAACAGCCACCTAGAAGAGCAGCTGTTCAGCAAGGGCTGAGCTGCTGTGGTTTGGGGCTGGACGTATGTCAGGGACAGGAAGTGGTGATGTCTACATGTTCCACCCAATGGCAATTACAGCAGATGGATGGGTCTCAAGGAAGAGTGTATCAGCGTGTTCCCAGCCTTCTGTGGATGGAGGAGAAGGGGGCAGAGCAGGGTCAGCCTGTGACTGCCTGGAGACTCACTATCTCAAGGCCTTGGGTTAACCAGCACTTAAAAAGGAGGAGCTGAAGGACAGAAGAGGAGGATCCTGGAGCCACCAACGCAGATGACCAGCCCTGAACTTGGGCTCCTGAACAGTAGACCCAAGATGGCCATCAGAAATGTCTTCTTAGTTGGAGGACAGACACCAAGTCATGTGTGATATTCATGCTGCAATGACAGGCTGTCCTCAGGCCACACACATGCTAGAGTCACTGGCAATAACCAGCAGCCCAGGCTAACTTTGGGCAACAAGAACATATTTGGACAAGAAGGAGAGACTTTATCTGGCTTTATACAAATAATTCAGTCATCCGCTGGCCATCAGGCAGAGGAGCTGTAGGTAGGAATAGAGTATCCCTCAGAACCAGGAAAGACAGGGCAAAGCAGTGCCTGCCTCACACCCCAAAGGAGTGGAACTGAAGTGGTACACTCCCCTGTTTGAGGAGAAGGGGAGAGAGAGAAGCTAGGCCAAGCCCACAGGGAGGCCCTGGAGCCAGAGCCCTTGGAGGCCATCAAGTTCTAGAGGCAATTTCAAGGACACTGGAGCCAGCAAAGATTCACAGAGGTGAAGTGTAGCAGTGGGATCCAGAAGCATCCTAGGAAATGTCACTGCACAAGACCTAGCCAGATGTGCAAGATTGCTCATCATTCTGTGCTGTGCGTGCTTTTGTCTTGGAATCTGTGGACAACATGGCATTTTTGTTAAACAGCTCACCTCAGATTCTCATTGGAGAATCTGGGAGAAGGGTGAACAGTCAAAATGTTAATGAAATTGTCCATTGAGACCCTCATGCTTTCCTGGATGGAGATTTGGTGGGATGAGTTTTCCCTGGCCAGGTGTCCCAGATGTGCTGTAGTGGAAGCAAGGAGCCCAAGGAGGAAGAGGGGAGGGGCTGGGCTGACCTACACTGCCCGGGATGTCCTTGCCTCCTTAAGGAACAGCTGGGTTTTCCAGACTGACTAAAATTTACTCCCTTTCCTCTGAAGCAGGGGACGTCTTTATGCCACACTGGGGCCTAACTGGCGGGTTCCAGTTCGGAATTCTCCCAGAACTCGGAGCTGTGTCTACAGGTATACGTTTGTTCATTTTCTCATTTGACAGTTGGTTTGGGGCTGTTCACTGAGGGAAAGTCTCTGTGCCAGATGTATCATAACACTATCTCTGGTGCTCCAATTGCTCCAGAGAGGTATGGGGCTCTCTGGGAGAGAGGAGGGGCTCATCAGAGGAAACAGTGCTGGAAGAATGATGGGAATTAGCCAGATGACTGGAGAAGGATTCCTAGGGCCAGAGCTCCCAGCAGGACAGACAGGGTCTGTGAGGCAATAGGTCTAGGTAGCTCAGTGAGGGTAAAGTCCACTGAGTGTAGGACCCAGAGATGGGTTTCCTCTCTGGGGCTGGGGAGGTGGACAGAGCCACATCTGCAGGAGCAAGGGTATTGCCTGCCCTTAACCACTGTGGGACCCAGGGAGGCTTAGTGGAGAATGAGAACTGTGTGGGTGGAGAGGATATTGGGGAGGGGCAGCAGGAATGGAAGCAGGAACTGGAGACAGCATTGGGCTGTCATCTAAAAGGAAATACAGTGGCTTTGGTGGAGAGGTGGGATGGACAACTAGACATGATTAGGACCTAGGACCACAACATCCTTGGAACTAAGTTGCAGGTCATGAGTAAGGGAAGAGACTTCCCCAAGTCTGACCTCACTGCTGGCTTGGTGACCAGTTTGGTTAAGCCGGTCCCTGTGGACATCCAACAAGCAGGAGCACAAACTCCAAAGCATGGGACAAGACTGGGACACTGTCACCAGGACAGTGCCTGATCTCAATGGAGTGGGTGAAAGAAAAGCCAGGAGGAAAGGAGAGCAGGCTGGTAATGTGGGGCTTCTGTTCCCCCTTTCTACTGTACCGTGCGCCTTTGCACCCTCCTGCTAACATGAGGAGGGCCTGCCAGCACTAGGCTGCAAGGTGTAAACCATAGGCATGAGCATGGAGAGCAGGCAGAAGGACATGGAGGGCTTGGTGAGAGCTTTCTGAGGTAGCTTTACCCTACTCTTTCTTTGGTGGCTTTGGCCCAACCCCGAGAGTCCTCTGACTATGGGAACATCATAGACTCTCCCGGGAGGCACCGTGAGTGGGAAGGTACCAGGTTTCAGCTGCTCTGGGGCTGTATCTAACTGAGAGTCTCCCTTTAGCCCCACGAGCCCTTGCACCTGTACTGTGGGAAGCTCGGCCGCTGTGCCCACTATGGAGGGGCCTCTGAGACGGAAAACCCTGCTCAAGGAAGGCCGGAAGCCTGCAGTAAGTCACACGTGCCGTCATGAGCCCACGTGAGGCAGTGTGGGCTCAGGCAGTCTAGAGACCTGTGGTCTTAGTTTGGGTTTCTATTGCTGTGAAGAAGCACCATGACAACTCTTATAAAGGAAGACATTTAGTTGGGGCTGGCTTATAGTTTCAGAAGTGTAGTCCGTTATTGTCATAGTGGAGAAATGGCAGCATTTAGGCAGACATGGTGCTGGAGAAGGAGCTGAGAGTTCTACACCTTGATCCACAGGCAGCAGGAAACTGCCCCACTAAGTCTAGCTTGAGCATATAAGACTTCAAAGTCAAGTCCACAATGACACAGTTCCTCCAATAAGGCCACACCTCCTAATAGTGCCATTCCCTATGGGAAAACATTCAAACACATGAGTCTATGGGGGCCATTGCTATTCAAACCACCACACCTGCCAACCAGGCTCCTCCCTCTGGCTGTAACCATTGGGCAGGGGAAGGCATCCATGTCTCTGTGACTTAGGATGATACTACATTTCCTCCTGGGGGCCATCTGTGGCAGAGAGCCAGTCTATGGGTGCATGGGCAAGTTAGAGCCATGGGGATAGTCTAGAGGGTACACAATGCCTGGACACTCAGCCCCAGGAGGCAGTGTGGCCCACTGTGTGGTGCTCCCACGTAGACTCCCTAGCATGCAAGCTGCAGCAGGGAAAGCACAGAGACAAGGCATCAGGAGGATTGTCATGCCTGCCACCAGTATTCATTTCAGACTGGGATGTCACAGCCACTGTGACCCCACATGACAGCGTCAGCTCCTTGGGTGACAGTCTCATCCTCAAGCTGCCTGTCCTCACTGTACCTGCTCTGCCCTCCTGTCCTACTCTGTCCGACTCCTGTCTACAGAGTTGTCTAGAGACACCAGCTGCTGTGAGGATGCCAGGGCCCTGTCACCTGCCCTCTGCAGGTCTCCTGAGAGTCCTTGTCTCTAGTTGCCAGTTAGATGCCTAGACAACAGATAAGGTGGAGAGCTTACACCCCAGTGCTGGCTGGACTCTGTGTCTAAAGGCCGGAGTGTTACCAAGCTTCCTACAGCATGGGGCCCCATGTCGGACCCGTGGGAAGGACTTACTCCCTTTCCATACCACACCACACGTACACAGTGGTCACAGGACAAATCACAGGGGTTGGTTTTACAGTTGAGTCCCAAGGATAAATAACACTTTTGGAGTAAGGGACAAGTACCTTTGCCCACTAAGCCATCTCAACAGCCAGGGACTAGCATTTTCAAGTAAAAATGGAAGAGAATGGGAAATGTCTGCATTATTCACAAACAGGAAAGCTAAGTGTTCTGTGAGCCTTTTTCAGTTTAGCCTGTGTCTGTTGCTGTGCATCCTGTGGTGTCAGAGAAAGGCTGGACATAGCTTTTCCTTGTTAGTGACACAGCTGTTCCTACTAGGAAGAGGACTATATCATGATTCTGGCTAACCTGCCCCTAGGAGGCGTGGTCCTTTCCTTCCAGACTGGGGTGCTTACATTGACATTGCAGATCTGCAAGCACCACTGAAGGCCTCAGTCTGTCAGTGCAGCCCATGACAAGCATTCCATTTCTAGGCAGCACTTTGGCATGTCTATTTTCCTGATATACCATTGGGTCCAGCTCCCCAAACACAGTATTTATGCCCTGAGGCACCTTCCACAAGGGGAAGAAAGGGAGGAGTGAGAGAGGAGAGATCTCCTGGACCGTCTGTTTCCTGACAGAGCTGGCACTGTCAACGATGACAGAGGGCCAGAGAAGAGAAGGCCTGGGCTGGCATGAGTCAGGATGGCCATGTCCACTCTCTGGCAGTCTGAGGCCACTGCCCTCCCTGTTATCACCACTCTGCCTGTCCTCCTTTTGCAGCTGGCCTCGTGGACCAGGTACTGGGTTGTGCTCTCAGGATCCACCCTCCTTTACTATGGAGCCAAGTCCTTGCGGGGCACAGACAGAAAACATGTAAGTCCCTGAAAAGATTGCCCATGCTGGAACTCCTCTAGTGGGAGTGACCCCTATGGCTGCAAGGGCTGGGGTGGGCAGGACATTTGTCTGGCCCATGCTAGTCTCCCTTGCTGAAGGCAGGGTGTGGGCCCAGGCCTCCCAGCTGATTGTTGTTCTATTTTAGTATAAATCTACACCTGGCAAGAAGGTCTCCATCATAGGCTGGATGGTGCAGCTGCCTGATGACCCCGAGCACCCAGATATCTTCCAGCTGAATAACCCTGACAAAGGTGAGTGGCAAACTGGGCTGGAGCCTCTGTTCTGTCTCTGACCAGATGTGCACCCTGAAGCTCTGAGATCATTATTTTCCCTTTACCCTAGGTTTGCATGGCACCCAGTCTAGTCTTTCTTGCTGCTTAGACTCTGGCTAGTGCTTCCATTGAGCAGTGAAAGCGGCCTTGCCTCTGACTTAATGGGTCTGTCCTCCCTCAGTCTGTAGCCCAAGGCTCTTGGAGTAAATAGCAACCAATGTGAGATGAGGCAAAACCTTGGGACCAGAAGGGTCTTGGGTCCTGGTTTTCAGGGACTCGTGACACAGTTTTATTATAAGACTACACAGTGTCCGGGTCCAATGGTAACTCAGAACCCATGTAACTTCCAAAAGCTCCAAGCTGATCGTCCTTGCTTCCCTCTCAGGCCCTGCTAAAAGGAGGGAAGGGCCTGGTTCCATCCTGCCCTGGAACCATGTCTTCACTGACAGGCCCAGCAGTCCATAGCCAGCTTCCGTGATATCCCAAGTTACAGAACAAAAATCAAACAGCAGCAGCCACACGGTTAGAAGCGTACACATGCTCATACAGTAATCAGAATGTTCGAGTACAGAGTTTAAGCACAGACAAGTCATCTGGGGAATCATGCTAAATAAAATTCGTCTTTGGGGTCTGCAGATCTGACTAGAGACCCAAGACTATGCATTTCTAGCAAGTTCCCTGGGAAGGATGATGGGGGTACAGTCCAGGGGACTATAAGTGTCATGTTCTCATGGTTGCAGCTGAGAAATATGGGTGCCCAACCATCTCAAGGAGTCCTGCAGGTAGCAAGGCAGTAGACTCCCAGGGCCTCTGCTCTGTAACGGAGTGACTGAGTGTATGTCGGCTACACACACATGTGTCCTTACTTTCATGCCACTAGAGTCCCTTCCCCAGTGGCCTTGGCCAGGACCAGTGAGGTTTCCATTAGAAAAAAAGCTATGTCCTCGGAAGCTCCGTAAGCCCTTGTGGCAGTGGGGACCACAGGCCACTCCTGTTAGAGCCAGTGGTTCTCAACCTTGCTAATGCTGTGACCCTTAATACAGTTTTGAATGTTATAGTGACCCCCTGCCATAAAATTATTTTGTTGCTACTTCATAACTATAATTTTTCTACTGTTATGAATCATAATGTAAATATCTGATATGCAGCCCCCAAAGGGTTCATTCACAACCCACAGATTGAGAACTACTGGCCTAGAGGAAAGCAGTGTCCCCAAGCAGGGAGAATGTGAAATGAGGTCAGTGAGCAATGCCACTGATAGAATTAAAGGGTCTATAAACTAGATATGGAAAATGATATCTTGTTCTTCAGTGACAAGTAATGTCTTCCATTCATTATGATACAAGCATCATGTGGCAAGAATTTCAGAAATACTGTGGGTTTTGTCCCCAAGAGAAATTACAGGCATTTCCACAGCAAGCATAGCTGCAGACATCTCAGGACCTCATTGGTGCTCCTCTTGAAATCCCAGCATGGTGGTCCAACCTGCTGCCAGCTCTAAGATATACATACAGACACACAGACAGACTCACATCATATCATACTGTGTAGTTAGTTTAGAAGTGTGTCTCAGTATCAGTGATTTTCATTGGTTTGAGAACTGCTGGGAACCTGGTTGTTACGGGTCTTAGTCCAAAAATCCCTGACCTGCCAGTGCTGGCTCACCCTGGCCTATGGCAGCTTTCCTTACCCGTACAGACTCATGCTCCCACAGCACACTCAGGCCAGCCCTCCTGTGTGTCCTTCTTAACCAGGGGTTCCTTTCCCCATCAGGCAATGTTTACAAGTTCCAGACGGGCTCCCGTTTTCATGCGATACTGTGGCACAAGCATTTGGATGATGCGTGTAAAAGCAACAGGCCTCAGGTAACATCCCTCAGATCTTATGTGTTACCAGAAACCTTTAGACAGAAGGTCTCCCTTTTTCCTTCAGAGTCCACTAGGGCTGCTCCCAGGGACCCCTCTTTAAGATTTTTCTCATGAGTCAAGGCAACCTTTGCATGAATGAAGCCTGGCTTAAGCCAGAATGTTATATCTTTTCCACATACCCATTAGGAGACAGTGAGGTAGCAAGTGTGCTGTTATCCAGTGTTCCAGCTCTAGCATCTGTTTAGTTTGTCCCCCAGAGCTGATTTCATTGGAAAACAGAAAACTGACCAATAGGTCTGTTTCTCTGCCCACTACTGGGGAGTGTCCTAGTAACGTCTAAAATATTTAGGAACAGCCATGTGCCAGGCAAGGCTACTGGACCTAGGTCCTGGTCTAGTCTCTCCTTCTGCCGCTCCCTCCTCTCTCCCTGACACCCACGACTGTACATGCACCCATTGGCAGAGTGTTCCCATGTCCCTGTGATGTGAGTTCTCCTACTCTCTCCATTGTACAGTGAGGAGCCTGAAGCTCAGAAGTGAAGGACAACTGTGCAAGGTCCCTTAGTGAGTGAGTGGTGACGCTGGGATGCAACTCAGTCCACCTGATCCCCAACTCTGAACTTGTAGCTCCTGACTGAAAGTCCCTGTCATTGTACTAGACAGAGAGAGCCAGGAGTACAGCCCCTGCTGGACAGGCTTGTGACAGGAATGGCAGCCTCCATCATCCTGCTCCCTGCTTGCCACATGGGCAGCACTGATGCCAGAAGGAAGCCCAAAGTAAACTACCCTGGAACACAGTGACCTGTGGGACTGCAGGTGTCCTCACTCTGTCCTCAAGACCAAATAGCAAAGCATGCTCATTGTGGCACTGTCCATGGTAAAAGAACACCAGAAACCTCCAGCCTGCCTGAGATCCCTGAGCAACACCAGATAGCTATCAGCAAGATGGTGGCAGGTCTAAGGAGGCCCAAAAAGCATTGGAGGATGATTTCATTTGCTTTTAAATGTATGTGAACATTTATGATATGTATGTATGTGAGCATATTCATGTAAAATCTCTACAGTGATATACAAGAAACTATAATTCTATAATTTTAGAGTGCTTACCTGTGAGATAGATGAGCAGATAGACAGACGAAGTCTTTTTCAGTGGTGCTGAAGTTGAACCCTGGGCCTCAACCATGCTAGGTAGTTGGTCTGCCACAGAGGTGCACTTCCGGCCCAGCTTACTTATATCTGCACATCAAAGTCACTGCCCATCTCTGTGACTGGAATACCTGTGATTTGGGCCCACTGCCATGTCAGGGCAACAAGCTTGAACAAGGTTGCTGCTGAAGTAAGATACGTTAAGAGGAAAGCCTACATCTTCCATTCCAGTCTCATCAGCTCTGGGCTCCCTTACTTTCCCTGAGCTATCGCAGCAAACTGAAGCTTACCAGCTATACATGGGCAGCCCCAGGACCTGTATGCAAGAGGCCATGTGGTTCTAGGTCTGCCTGACAGCATTGAGGTAGGCACCTGGCTGGGGAACAAGACAGTCTCAACCAGGTACAGAAAGGGGAGCCCTGAGTGAGTTCACACTGAGAGGAATAACAGCAGCCAGAAAGTGCAGCAAACTCATGCAGCAGACTTTCATGTTGTCCAGAAGACTCCTAGTGGGATTTCATGCACTGGCCGATATGGTATGCCGGTATGGTGTGCCAGTACATCATGCCATGGCAAAGTCCTGCCATGTGTTTGTCTCCAGTTTTCAGACCTAGGGAAAGAAGGATTTTCTTTTTATACTTTGTTTCTTTTACATTTCCAATTTGCTTTTTACTAATTTGCTTTTATACTGTGATGTATAAAACATGGGGACAGTCTCAAAACTCAGTGGTAGAGTAGAGGCTTACTTAAATCAGTCGTTGCGCACCCGAGAGACAGCTCAGGAAACGCATGGAAAACAGTATTGAAAAGTGTGGCCTTCCACATGGAATCTGCAATGAAGACTGTTTCTATTTGCATTTCTTAAAATTGTTTTTTCTGACACTGAATCTATTTAAGCTTATTTATACTATATGTGTAAGAAACAAACAACAGCAGTAGAGCTAGCTGTGGCAACACTCAGGAGGCTGAGGCAGGAAGATCATGAGGCTAGCTTGGGCTAAAAACAACCAGAGAAGACAACAGCCAAAAACAGCAGTAGAGAAACACCGTATACTCACCTCAGCCAAAACCTAGAAACCCCAACAGGTCCTGAGGCCTTCCCCTCCCCCTTAAGTCAGTTTCTCCCTCCCCTGACTTCCCTCTTCTCCTGATGTGTGTTACTTCCCTGTTTTATTTTACTGCAGTCCTGAGGAGGAAACCCAGGGCTCAGCTGCTAGGCAAGTGCTACCACTGAGCTATGCCTCAGCCCTCATTTACAATTTAAAAACTTCATTTAATAACAGTGCCTGTGTGCTTCCCTCCTACTCCCTGCTCCTCTGCTCTACAGTGCTGGCACAGGTGGCTGCAGGTCACTGCTGCACTTCCCTTCTCTGTCAGCTCTGCCTGTCGTCTCTGAACTGATTCCCTGTTCCTTGCTCCCATGAGTTTTGAGGCTGTGAACATTCTTGGAACTGCATCTTGTTCTGATTTCTTATTTTGGTGAAACTGACACCAAGATGGGGTTGGTTAGTTAGTTAGTTAGTTAGTTAGTTAGTTAGTTAGTTTGTTTGTTTGTTTTATGAAATAATGTCTAATACCAACTAGAACACCAAAGTAATGGCAAGGGAGGAAGTTCAGGGCTGGGGGTCTGGAAGCAACTATGAGTTCAGGGAAGTACTGACAGTGGGGCTGGTTGGCTCTGGGGAAAGTATTGGAGTTCATGATCTCCCCAGACTTCCTCCTCCTGTGCCATCCCTTAAGACATCCCCCACCTTCTAGGCTAGTTTCCCCTCCAGATACATTCACCCTACTTCAGCAGGGCCTATCCTCCACACTCCAAACCCAGTTAGTTGTCTTTGGCTCAGAGGATAGTGGTGAAGAGTGTCTCAGCCCTGGCTCTAACTCTATGTTTGGCCTGTATAAGCCTCAGTTTCCTTGTCTTCAATATGGCAACCTTTCTAGCATCTGCCTGATAGAATTCATGTGAGGACTCCAGAAACAGTGCATATGAAGTAGTCAGAGTAATGCCTGGCACGTGCAGTTACTCCCCAGTCGCAGCTATTATTACCGTGTCCTTTTCCTCCCCATACTTGCATGGCCCTAACTGTAGGAACTTCCCTACCCCTGTCCATTTCTGTGGATTGAAAACTTTGACAAAAGGGTGAGCTTTCTCTTCTAGGTACCTGCAAATCTTATGTCATTTGAATGAGTATCTGCAGGACTTGGTGTGACTGCAAAGGCTTCTGAGAGCCTAGACTAGGTCTGATGGAAGAAAGCAGCTCTGGGCATAAGCTGTGGGCCAAGGCACTGGGCTCTCATAGCTGGACTTGAGGAATATGGCCGTGGCCTTACAGTCCTGGATGGCTTCCCAGTGCAAGATCCACCTGTCAACCCACAGCAACTCTCATGAATCATTCTGCAGCAGCACCCCACCAAGTGGTTGTCAGACCCCAAACTGCACCCCTATGCCCCCTCTCTGGGCCATCGTCTGTCCACCAGCTGCTTCTGCATCAGGGGAGCATTTGACCCATGTTGGGTTCTCCATGCTTTCTGCTGCACACAGAGTGGATGGCACTAATCTTCGAGAGGTCTGAAGAGCAGAGATGGGCTGCTGGACAGGCTTGTTACACCCCAAGTGCACAGGCCACTTGCCCACAGGGCCGCCTCAGATTTTGTATACCCCCAAAGCATCCTCTGCCTATGTGTACTCTGTGTGTGTGTGTGTGTGTGTGTGTGTGTGTGTGTGTGTGTGTGAACTCTCTGAGAAACATACATTTTGGCACAAGACTTGTGACATCACACACTTATTGGCTTTGAGGCCCTGCTTAAAGCTTTAGTTATAGCCTTGTCCTCTAAGAAAAGTCTGAAGGGAATCCAGAAGCTCCATGTTAAGGGTCCCTTGAGTTCTTACTGTAAACAAACAATGCCTTAAATTGTGTCTTGTTTTCTGTTCCTATGGGTGCTATTCATCTGGATGGCCTGTTCCCTGGGCCCCAGGCCCTCCTGGGTCTTGTTGTCAGCCCACCTGAGGCAGACCCCGTTTCCGGACCGCATCCTGAGCACTGGCCTGCTTGCTCCGTACCATGAGCTTCCCTGATGGGCCTATGGGCTCTTTTTGATCTCACCCACTCCTGCCATGCTGGTGTGGGAAGCTGGGGCCTTTTCTCCCAGCAGCTTGGAGGCCCCTACAGTGTTCGGTGGTCAGAAGCTATGCCACCCTGCATATTTCCACAGGGCAGAATTGTGCTCCTGTCTTCTCACCCTTGCCACCACTGCCAGGGCCAGCCACACTGATTCCTGATCACACAGGGAGCTGAGTGACACGGAGGCCTTAAGCCCCCTCAGTCTTGCCCCTAAATGTAGTTAGTCACCAGCAAGTTCTCATCCAAGTTCAAGGGCCCGGGTGTTGATGACCAGGTGACAAGAGAGCCCAACCCTAGGGAGTGAGATGCCCAGCCTCTTCATGAGCAAGGACCTTTATCTGTCACCTGTTGTCACTGATAAGGTGATTTTCACTTTGCACATTTTAACTAAAGCATATTGCCCTTTGTCATCACTGATCCTCTCTATCCCTCTCCCTCCTTGAATTGGGTACCCTAACCCTCAGAAGAAAATCTCTGTTTTTTGGAAAAGGCTGAATTTCTGGGTCCCTGTGGTTACCATAGTTTTACACAGTAACCAGTCATGAAATTGTCCCAACAATAATGGAGAAGCTGCAGACAACCCCATAACCATGAACTTGCTTACCACCAAAAAGCTCTGTATTGCAAACAAAATGGTGACATGTTTCTAAAAACATGGATGACTTGGTGGAGCAAGTAGTTGTCGCCATGGTGGTACGTTTTGGTAAGCCTTGCTGTACTCTGAAGCTAACCTTCCTGTGGGCAGAGCCTGAATATTTTCATGCCAAGAGAAACTCCATGAGGTAAAGTTGATGGCATCAAACCTTGACCACAGCTGCCTTGCACATCCACCCCCACCAGGGGTCCAGGTGTGTGCACCGGATTCTACCAACATCGGCTCCAGTTAGAATCCAGAAGATGAATGACGGGGTCAGACACTCCAGGCACCTCCAAGCAGAACCATTCGTGGTCACACTTTAACCTATACCAACCCCGAGCCTGCCTGTTAACTCCTAGAAACCCAGACCATCAGCTGCCTGTTTCCTCTAGGCATCTGCTCTTGAGCTCATTTTTGGGTTCTCACATGTGCAGTGTCAGACATCAAAAGCCCCAGAACTTCCGTCTCACTAAGGTAACATTTTGCCCTTTACAGATCTGTCTTATGAGACACAAGTGTTTTCTTCCAGGCCTAATCTGAAAGAGCACAATCACAATTATTTTCAAAGTGTTTAATCGTCTCCCTAATTAAAACCAAATTCCCCTCCCACAAGCATCCTTACCATGGACTTTTGAAGACACCTGCTTGGACTTGATTAGTGAAAAGCCTTGTAGGACTCTTGTGAGCCTTGAAGGTGGCAGGAGAGCCCTGTAGATGGAGTTAAAAGATACTTGGTTCTCCAAGCAGGGCCTTAGGCCAAGCATACAAGCTCAGCGCTGACATCCCCAGTGCTGGCTTGTCACACAAGGCTGCAGGGGAGGTGGCCAGATCATGCGACAGAGGCAGAAATCCTTTGGTAGATTCTTAGCCTGGAAGGAAGCTGTTCTGCACTTTTGTTCCACTGTCCATAGTACACAAATACTGTGAAACTGTTGGTGGTGGTGCCAGTTACTGCCTTGCAGACAGACCCTGACACTCCAAACTGAGAGCTGTAGAATGCCGTTTAGAAACTGGAATGGGCAGCTGGTAGTATTATGAAGTCCCAAAGCCCACTCATCACAACAGGAGTAACTCTGTCCCTCTCCAGTGTACAAGTTTTGTAACTCAAACTCATCCAAGTGTATGCTGGCAAGCAAGATACCTTGTAGATACTGGACTTGGAGGGAAGCACCAGAAACACTCTCCTACACAAGCCAGCAGGAGAGGTTGGCCTTTCCTCTCGCCTAACCAGATGCTTTGCACACTTGTTGGACCAAGATGCTGAGCAGGTAGACACATTTGTGTCTTGCCAGCAGGCTCTCTGTATTTCTCCTTCTTACCAAGATGGCCAGTGGTTCGTCTGTCAGTTTACTCTTGCTTCTCCAGCCTAAGAAAGGTGTGCTGTTTTTTTGTTTGTTTATTTTTTAATATCAATTTTCAGATGGAAAATGATCTGTAAAACTGGGAAGCCATTTCTAAGCCAAGGTTGCTTTAATCTGCATGTGGAATCCAGAGCTTTGCAACCTCTATTGAATATTGCCAAAAGCACAGCTTCTCTTCTTTGTGTGACCCTTAAACTGGCTGTATGTCATATTGATATGTTGGGTGATTTCATGTTATAAAACAAAACCCCACCTGCACAAAGCCCTTTTGAAAGTGTATTTATTGCATAAACATTCATTCATATCTCAAGTGAATACTTCTTATACACCAGGCTCTACCCAGACAGAAAATGGCTAGAAACAAGACAAATCCAATTTTGGCCTTTGTAGAACTTCCCAGTCAATGATCAAATAATCACCACCTCACACACCAACTTTTGCAAGACCCTGCCTGAATACAGATCTTGTGCATTGGTTCTTCCAGGAAGACTTCAGACTGAATGGGAGTGTTGGGAGAGTAAGTTGCATTGAGGACTAGCTGGAGTCTCAACACTGGAGACTGGCTGGCTCTGAGCAGCCAGATACAGATCTATGTTCAAGAGTAACCAGGGGTTACAGGGAGGATGCCAAAGGCGGAATGAGAGAGTAGAGTCTGAGTGCTTGCCATATGCACAGTCCCTCCCCCTCCCCATTTACTCTGTAACTTCAGTGTTACATTCAAATACAGTATGAGTGGGAGCTGGGGTGTCCCTGGGAGCTGAGGACTTGGACTTTGGTCCACCCTGTAACCTGCTGCTGCACAAATGTGTATCCCGTGGACAGCCCCAAATTGCCACTCACAGCAGCAAGATCATCTGCCATTTTGGAAGGACTGTGACCATTCAGAAATGAAATGATAGTGATTCATTTATTAGTGAGGTATACTCTTTAATAAATTTTGTGCCAAAATGCATGGTTTCCCACTTAGCATTCAATATGTTGTATAGAGAATAGTTTTCAATTTCTTACGTGTTCTTCCAAGTAAACTGAAAATGAGTTCTCACATCTTACTTTGTTTCTTGTTAAATCTGCTGTACCTCCCCAAGCTGTCTTTTTTTCCCCAACAGACCCTGCATGCAGTTGTGTGAGGACTTTTCTCTAACATTTGTAAATTGTCTCATCTGCAATAACCACTGAACATCATCCCTCCTTGGGATTCTTTAGATTTTTGGTGAAGTATTTTGTTACCTCAGTCTTGTATCAAGTTGCTGTATTTTTCAGCTTATTACACTGATAATAATTGTCTCACTAATTAAATACTTTAATGTATATACATCTTTGTTTACTTTGAAATTAAATGTGTTTTCCAATGAATATCGTTCCATTTATTAGTGTCACATGCAGTCATTTTGGCAGGCAGCTGCTGTGCTACATGCAGACATGGAGGAGGCATGGATTGTCCAGGGCTCAGCTGAGAGTAACTAGCATGTAAATACATAGGATGGAGAGGACAGGGACAATATTGTGGGTCTCTCGGAGAGGAAGGCAGAGGGTCTGGGGGTGCCTAAGAAGACAGCGGGCCTTGGGCATTAAGGAGGCTGGCAGTAGGAGCAGGCACGTGGGTCAGGGAGACAGAGAGGACAGGATGCACATGGGGAAAAGCAGCCAACCAGAGATTACTGAGTGAGAATTCCAGTCAACGTGATATCTGAAAAGATGTGTCGGGAGGAAATCATGATGCAAAAAGCATCATGTTTGATTAGAGGTAAAGGGAAGTGTATGAAATAACGCCGCAGGTAGTGGGTGGGGGAGCAAGAGCCATTGAATGGGAGCGCATGAACTAGAGAACTCGATTGGGGATCCCAGTGGCAGCTCCCAGGCATACACACCCATTCTTGCTCCAGTCTCTGCTTGAATGTGCTGCATCAAGGGAGACCAGAACCTCATGACCGCAGTGAAAGAGCCCTGCTGCACGAATTAACACACACCTACACTTTACCCTGGAAAAGGAACTCTCAGCTAAGCAGTTTCCTCCGTCAGATTAGCCTGTAGACAAGGTTGTGAGGGCTTTTGGTAGTGGTGGTGGGGGTGCTGTGGAGGGTTCAGCCCACTGTAGGTGGTGGTATCCCGGGGCAGGTGGGACTTGGCTGAATAAGACAAGTAGATGAGCAAGCCAGAGGGAACTCTGTAAGTCCTGACTCTGTTCTTGAGTTCTTCATCCTTCCACCTCCAAACTTGAGTACCTCGTGGTGGACCCCAGTTCAGCCAGGAAGACCCGCATCATCCAGGTACCCCAGAAGTGAGGAAAAAGCAACCTGGGCGGGGCTAGATGGGCGTGGGCGGGATTTGTGCAGGGCGGGGAAGCTAGAGGGCTCTTGGGGCAGAATAGTCAAGGGACAAGAAACGCAGAATTGCTCCAAGTACAGACCTCAGCTTCTGCTTTGGACCTTGAGTTCTGCTCTAACTTCCCAGATGATGGGGCTGTAACCTGTAAGCCAAATGAAGGATCACCTTTCTTCCCCAAGTTGCTTTTGGTCACTGTTTTGTTCGGTTCAGAAACCGAACTAGCAATAGATGGCAAAGCCATCCTTACTTTCACTTAGATGAGTTTATACACCCAACCATAGTGCAATGTTAAAGGACCCTGAGATGACGCATTTGACTCGGGAGGAAATGAGGGGTGGAGGGTGGGTCTCACAAAATTGGAAGGTTATGAATGAAAACCTGAACCCACAACTGGTAGCCAGCCAAAACTCCCCTCAGCCTCACTGTGTCAGACACCACAAACAGCCACCAGGAGACAGCAGTACCTCCTTTTGCTGACTGGTTATATCCTGAGGTAGCGCAAATCTCATAGTAGACCCTAGTTCAGCCAGGAAGACCCGCACCATCCAGGCACCCCTGAAGTGAGGAAGAGGCGACATGGGCGGGGCTAAGTAGGCGGGGCTTGTAGCGTAGGTGGGTAAGCTAGAGGGCTCTTGGGGCCCAATAGCCAAGGGACGAGAGAGATGCAGAATTACTCCAAGTACAGACCTCAGCTTCAAGGGAGAAGAGGCGGAGCTCCGGAGTCGGGGGCCATGCCTTTGGGCGGGACATGGAGAAAGGCAGCCCCCAAAAGAAGGCGGTGCTACGATAGAAAGGACCAGAGGTGCTGAGGTGAGGAGGGTCAGCAGCGAAGCCAGAAAGCAGAACTGTGGTGTGGCGGGCCGATAGAGCGCTCTGTGGTGGAGGGGTAGGTGGGCAGAGCCTAGATCTTTGGGAATCATGGTGAGGAGCAGGAGTGATGGGCCGTGGACCCGACGAAGTTGCGGGCCCGGTGGGTGTTGGGGGCCTGCGTGCGCTACACAGAAGCGTGGAGGGCGGGTAGAAGATCTTGGTGAGGCTGGCTTGGGAGGGGCGTGGCTGTAGCTCGGGGTAGAGGCAGGGTGAGGCCTGCACTGGTCTGAGGAGGGCCAGGGAAACAGAGATCCGGAAACTCAGGGCGTGGCCTGTGCCCAGACTAGGGCGTGAGGTGGGTTTGGCTAGGAGATGGGGCTGGGCCTTGGCAAAACTGAAGGGCAAAGTGACTGACTGGATAAGAGTTTGGGGTGGGGCCTAAGTCCACTCAAAGGTAAGGGATTGGTACTTGGGGCGGGGCATGGGTGGAGCCTGAGCAGAGCTGCAAGGGGACCTGCCTGATTGGGGCGGGGTAAAGGCAGACAGGGGCGGGACCTGAACCTAATTCAGATAGGCTGGGTTGGGGGCGGAGAGGGGGCGGGGCCTAAACCCAACTGAGTGGTGTGGGAGGATCTGCTAGATTAGGGGCGATGTGGGGGGAGGGCCAAGGCCTCAAAAAGGGTCTAAGGGTGTGGATACCGTAGGAGATCAGGGCGGTGCCTGAGACTAGCTCCAGAGAGATGAGGCGGACTTGGCTAGGCTAGGGGCAGGGCTTAAAGCCGGCGGTTCTGTAGAGGCGTGCCTGCTGGAATGGGGGCGGGGCAGAGGTGAGGCCTAACACCAGAAGCGTGGTAGTGGTGGTGGAAACCTGCTGGCGTAGGGGCGGGGCATAAAGCCTGAGGCGTGGTTAGGCTGCTGGGAGCCGGAACCTAAAGCCTAAGGAGTGTTAAGAGGACTTGATAGGGTAGGGGCGGGGCCTAGACCTTGTGGAGAGTATGAGGGAGTGGTTAAACTGGAGTTCGGGGCGGGGCCTGAGGTCCGGGGCTGGGCTGGAGTTTGGGGCGGGACAGAGGCGGGGCTTGGGTCCAGTAAGGGGTGTGGGGCGGGGCGTGGGCTGCGGCGCGCCAGCTGAGCGTCCGGCCGAACACCGCCGAGGCCCGAGCCCACCCGAGTGTGCCCGAGCCGTCGGCCCCCGCCCGGGGCGATGGAGCAGGAACCCGGCGGGGCCGCCGCTGCGCTCCTGCGGCAGAAGAGGGCGGCGCTGCGGCGCAGGGGGTGCAGCTTTGAGAGTCCCAGGTACCGTTGCCCCGGAGGGGTGCAGCCTCTAGGGGCGGGAGAGGGGAGTAGGCCACGTGGGGGGTAGCGGTGTGAGGGCACAGAGCGTGGCGAGGCCGCGGCGTGGAAGGGAGTCGGCACAGAGCCCGGTAGAGCGGCCGGGCCACGCTGAGGGAGTGCCCAGCGGGAGGCTGGGGACCTGTGTCCGGCCGGCAGATGCTGTGGACGTCCGAAGCCTCGGCCCTGTGACAGGCTCCGCACACCACGGCTCAGGGAGGTCTTGGGCTGTGGAGAACTCGACCCGTCTGCTTCTAAATGCTCAAGGACAAGGTCGGAACCCCTCAACCCCAAAAGGACACCCTTTAGGCTCCTCTTGCTTTCTATAATCCATCCTCGCACCCCGGGTGCCTGGACACCTGCTGCCTATGGCCCCGCCCATCTGTGGTTGGGGTGGGGGGCACCCTGCATACTTCCTAGGTCCTTTCTCTTTCCCAGGCTGTCCGTTCCCCTCCCGGACTTACCTTCCTTAACTGGCGCCCCCCTGAGGAGTCAGCCTGGCCTTAGGTGAAGCTCGACTGCTGCCGGACACGCCCTTCCCTTTGCAGCTGATGCCAGTGCCTATGCCCTGCTTACTCTCACCTCTAAGGCATTCCTTGTAACTTGAAATGGGTCCTGCTTCCAGGTGGACTCCTTCCTTTCAGGACGACTCCAGCACCACCATCCTGGCCAGATTTTTTTCATCAGTATTCGGTAATGGCCTTAGGAAGGGTATCCCGAGGCCAACCCCTTTCCCCCTAGCCTGCCGCTGCTTGCACCCATGAGGAGTTTTTCATTGCCACAGCATGGGTAGGGACAAGGAGAAGAAAAAAATGTGGGACTCTATAACCTCCACTGAGGTGGAAAAAAGAGTTCATTTGCTAAGGCACAAAGCAAACTAGCCAAGATCCTTAAAGGAGGGTGTGATGCCCTTAATTGGCCTTTCTCAGACTCAGTCCTTAACACACTGCTCCAGCAGTTCTGATGCTGTGTGGTGAGGACAGATACCAAGGCTGTCCTAGCCGCTGTTCCTTCACCACAACTGGCTCAGGCCTGGTCCATCTCAAATTCTGAAGGGCTTGGTCACTCCTCCCTCAGGCTGTAGAACTGCTCATCAGTTCTTTTTGAAAGTCTTTCTTGAACTCTAGGCTTAGCTTTGTGTGATCACCACCTGGGCATCTGCCAAGAACGTTCTAAATATTCGTGTGGTGACCTGAGTGGAACATTTCCCTTAGATAGGAGACCCAGGCAGCTAACAATCTCTTTGGCTTGAGCACGAAGAATAGGAAGAAGTATACCAACAAATTGGAGCAAAGAGAATCTCTCAGGTCTGATGCAGAGTGCTTAGGACAGTGCTGCTACAGAACTTTCGGAGATGAAAGAATGGTTCTGTAATGCAGCCCAAGCAGTACGGGAGCCACACACCTGTGGCTGTGGAATACTTCGATAAGACACCTGAGTGTTGAGTTGTGCTTAGCCTTCAATGTAAGAAACCACCTTGATCCCAGCACTACCACCTCGGCCAGATTTGCATCAGCATTAATTGGCTTCCTCGGGCTCAGTCCTTGACACACTTGCTCCAGTAGTTCTGATAAGAGCATGAGGAGGACTGAGAAATTCGAACCACAGTGGACAGTGCTGGCATAGAAATTAGATTTCCTTCCCCTTTGTCTTCATGACCAGATTCTTCAAGCACTAACTGACTTCCAAGCCTCCAGGTGTTTTTGTTCTCTGATACACTGTGACATTATCTAGTAGCTAGTAAGAGAATTAGGATTAGCTTTTTTTTGTCTTCTAAAAATAATTTATTGAATGAAATTTGAAAATGCATGAAAAATATAAACAGGATAATTAAAATATTTTGATGGTGGTGTTGGTGGTAGTGTTTTATTGTTGTTTGCTTGAAT